AATATCAGCTGAGGCACCTAATTTTACCACAAATACTGCATTAAAAATGTGCTGAAAAACTCGCTTATACACAAGTATATATGGTAGATAGATAAACTAGATTCACTGTCATTCAGTTGATTCCAACTCATAGTGACCCTATAGACAGAGGAGAATTGCTTCTTAGGGTTTCTAAGATAATAAATCTTTATAAGAATAGACAGCCTCATCAAAGAACAAAAATTCATATCACTGTGTGCTCACCTCCAAGATACGATCACTGAAGAAAAATGGGTACATAAGCAAATGTGGTGAAGAAAGCTGATGGTGCCCGGCTATCAAAGGATATACTGTCTGGGTCTTACAGGCTTGAAGGTAAAAAAAGCAGCCATCTAGCTCAGAAGCAACAAAGCCCACATGGAAGAAGCACACCAGCCTGTGTGATCATGAGGTGTCGAAGGGATCAGGTATCAGGCATCATCAGAACAAAAAATCATATCATTGTGAATGAGGGGGAGTTCAGAGTGGAGACCCAAGACACATCTGTGGGCATCTGGACATCCCCTTACAGAAGGGTCACGGGGAGGAGACGAGCCAATCAGGATGTAGTGTAGCAATGATGAAAGATACAACTTTCCTCTAGTTCCCAAATGGTTCCTCCCCACCCATTATAATGATCCCAATTCTACCTTACAAATCTGGCTAGACCAGAGGATGTACACTGGTACAGATAGGAACTGGCAACACAGGGAATCCAGGGCGGATGATTCCTTCAAGACCAGTGGTGAGAGTGGCAATACCAAAAGCTGTAGGGAGGGTAGGGTGGAAAGAGGGGACCGATTACAAGGATCTACATATAACCTCCTCCCTGGGGAATGGACAACAGAAAATTGGGTGAAGGGAGACGTTGGACAGTGTAAGATATGACAAAATAATAAATTATAAATTACCAAGAGTTCATGAGGCAGGTGGGAGCGGGGAAGGAGGGGGAAAATGAGGAGCTGATGCCAGGAGCTTAAGTGGAGAGCAAATGTTTTGAGAATGAGGAGGGCAATGAATGTACAAATGTGCTTTACTTAATTGATGTGTGTATGGAATGTGATAAGACCTGTATGAGTCTCTAGACAGCCTCATCTTTGTACCTAGGAGTGGCTGATGAATTTGAACAGCCAACAGAACTTTTTACAGGTAGAAAGAAGGTAAATAAATAAGATACTGGAGATTGCTCCTGGGCTAGGTTCCCAGCATATTCCTACCTGTAGCACAAAGCTTCCTTCTAAAAGCAGTACATATAGTGATGATAATGTGAATTTATCTGGAATAGTGCAACATAGGGACTTCCAGAAAATGATTTATTTTATTGCCTGTCCCAAGAATAAAATATATTGTTGGCATAAATAAAAACTAAGTGATTAATGAAAAAGAATATAATAGGGTAATGTGTTAATCCAGGTAGAATAGAGAAACAAATTCATAGACACTCATAGGTGTATAAGAAAGAGCTTTATATAAATGAGCAATTGTATATTGAGAAAACATCCCAGCCCAGTTCAGATCAAGTCCATAAGTCTGATATTAGTCCATATGTTCAATATTAGTTCATAAATTCCTTTTTAGGCTCATGCACCACATGCAATGATGCTGAATTCAGGAAGATCACAGGCCAGTGGGTAGAAGGTCTTGTGGATCCAGTGCCAGTGGAAGGATGTCAATGCTGGCACAGTGTTCCATGTGTCTCCTCCAGCTCTCTGAGTATCTCAACAGCAGGAAAGGGAAGGCAGAGAGAGTGTCCCACCTCCAGGGTGGAAGACAAGAAGGAGTTCCCCGAATCCTCAGGAGAAGGCCATGCACACACAGAGGCATGATTGGCTATGACCTGATTGATAATTCTTTGCTCAAATTGACAGGAGATTATGTAACTGCCACAGACCACCCCTTGTCAACTTGACACTTTTACACAACTATTTAACCATATATAATTTTTAAATAAGACTATAAATCATATATAGTGAACCCTCGCCACTTCGCGCTTCGACTTCCGTGGCTTCACTCTATCGCGGTTTTTGCATAACAGCGCATGCTCTGTCATTACTGGCACTGATTGGCTCATACTGTACACGCTTGATGCCATAAATAATATAATAAATAATAAATGATAATTGTAACGTCCAAAATGTTTTACTGTATTTTCCCTTTTTCGTCTAATAAATTGGGTAATACGAGTGTAATGGTGACTAAAGGGTGTTTTTTCATGTCCTCTATGCTCTAACTACGAAAATATTTGATTTACAAATAAGGAATCCTACTTCGCGGAATTTCATTTATCACGGTAGGGTCTAGAACCGATTAACCACGATAAACAAGGGTTCACTGTATGTACCTAAAAGGATAAAACTAAAATTCATGCAGTTCAATATATGCCAGCCTCATTTAAACATAATATTCTATAAGTGAACAAAACAAAAATATTTTATGCCTAACAATTGCAGTTAAGTGAACACCTACACCATAATCCTATAATCCTATGAATATATTCCCTCATCTATGAACATCTGTAAGCCAGCCACTTCATGCCTTTATCTACTCCATTTTGTGTGGCCAATTTCTATACTGCCCACTTACATCAACCCAGTGCTCTGAGGAGACATGTTCTCTGGTGTGAGGAATCTACATTCCAGCTAGAACCATGTGAGTCCATATCCATAAGCAAAGTCAAATCAAGACAGGCTATCCATACAGTCAGGAGCAATAAGCACCAATTGACAGGCTAAAAAATATTTTCTTCATCTGGTTGGGTTCAGGTAAACTCCATGGAAGCCACTTCACTTATTCTCACCAAGGTGTGCATTGGTTGCCTCACCTTCAGACCATGGGCACTGTCACAGATTTTCAACAACTCTAACCCCCTTGTTCTAGGTCATGAACTTCAGACCAGTCGAACTTCTCTCATCTTCTCTTCTAGTCCATATGAACCAGGTTGAAGGGTGTCCGTGGCCAGATTCAACCTGTCTCTTTATTGCTGCATTTCTCTCACTTCCACTCAACAAGTGGATCCAGATGGTCACCTGGCAAGCATTTCAGGCTGCCACAGGCTCCCTTTAATGTTCAGTCCTAGAGAGGAGAGTTTCTTCGTGGCTCCAAATTTTTTTGCAGCTTTTGGCACAAGCCACAATTTCAAAATTCAAAAAAAACAAGGGGTTCCTGTTTTAAAAATCTATCAACAGCCCCCTTGGCATGTCTCTTCACCTTACAATGTCCTGAGTACTCAAGACACTGGGTGGGGCTTAGCTTTTCATAGCCTTCTTTGAACCCATTTAAGATTCAAATTGGTGGCTGAAATAGTGAGCTTAAAAACTCTCTATACTTCCCAATAATCATTTCTATCAATCATTATATCAATAACAGTAGGCAAAAGTAAACAGTATGAACCTAGTAGAGCCAGATCCTAAACTCATTCTGAAAACAGTCAAGTTCAATCCTTATCTATCTTATCTTAATCCTTATCTAATCTATTCCATTGATAAATTTTGGCCTTAGGCATCAAGCCAGGGCCTTCTATCAACCATTTTACCTTCTGTCAGCCATTTCACTAAGCAACATGGTCTCTGAGAAAATTCAAGGGGTGATTTCCCACCTTGAGGTCAAAATGTACATCATTCATTTTTGCCATTTCAAACAGGAGTAACCAAAGATAACAACCAAACAAAATAATCAAAACTTTAACTTCCCATATTCTTTCCAGAAAACAAACCAGTAAACTGCATGGCCATATCTGACCTCTCTCTGGCTAGCCAAAGAACTACCAGGAGGCAGGGGTCAAACAAGCATCCACTCTCCATCTTTCTGCTTTGTTTCTCTAGTACCCCATGCTCGGTACCATAATGTGTTATTGTGGGTTGACTAGAGAAACACATTCATAGACACTCATATCTGTAGAACAAAGATCTTTAGATAAAAGAGCAATTATATATTGAGAAAACATCCTTGTCCTGTCTGGATCAAGTCTATAAGTCTGATATTAGTTGATACGTCCAATACCAGTCCATAAATTTCTCTTTAGACTCATGCAGCATACACAATGATGTTGAATGCAGGCAAATCACAAGCCAGTGGATAGAAGGTCTTGTAGATCCAGTGGCAGTGGAAGCATCTCCACACTGGCATGGGTCTCTATGGGTCTTCTACAGCTCTCTGAGTGTCTCAACAGCAGAAAAGGGAAGGCAAGGAAGGAGACTGTCCTGCCTCCTGGGAGGAAGACAGGAGTTCCCACAATCCACAGGAGAAGGCCAAAGCACACAGAGACATGATTGGCTATGACCTGATTGACAGGCTAGACTCCACCCCTGCACTCAAGTTGACAGGAGATTATGTAACTGCCACAGGTACCATATGATTTAAGGCCATAAGTAAATATCACTTTATATCTCATTGCTAATAGTTTAGCAATTAAGATACTAGCATCTATTTGCAAATACAAGTAATGATCTTTTTGTGATGCTCATTCCTAAATTCTGTGTGACACCCAAGTTGAAGCTCCATAATCATTAAATTCAAATTTGTTAGAGAAGTAAAACAGAAAAAATGAACAAAGAAATGAAAGAAACTAACTTCTAAGCTGGAAGCTGATTTTATTACTGTTAAATCATATGACTAATTTCTAATTGATTTATATTGGCCAGAAATCTTCTATTCCAGAGCATGTTCATCTATTTATCACAATATTCTTTATGACATATAGAAACTAATACATTGCCTCATTAATACTTACTCTTTCTCTAGTTATGACTCAGAGACATTTTATATTCTAAAACATAAGTATAATTACATATTTTACATTTTACTCCAATTTTTAATACTGCCAAGATTATTTTGTATAACTCACTTTTTAACTGTGTACCCTTTCTCTCTTTACCATTAGCATATCAATCAAATTTACATTATTCTGGTTTGCTCATTCTATTAAAACCAAGTTCAGGGCACAATTGACTTTTCATTTGTTTAACAAGTGAAGAAATATTTACCCTGACAGCCATTGTATTGTAGAGATTCATCTTCATAGTATAATATGCTATCTGTGAATCAAGAAAAAAAAAGATGGCATACATTTCAGTTACACAAAGACAGTATAGCCTATTTTTACATATAAAAGATAAGAATCTTTATACATAATACATTATAAGAGTTCTAGGCTTAGAAAAAAATGAAATCAAACTTTGTATTGAAGAGATAGGCTTCCTAATGCATAATGAAGGCTTACCCAGAAAACTCTATGGTAGTCAAACTAGGAGCTAATGGAGATATATGACCATAAAATGCTCTCCGCTGAGTTTGATAATCAATGGTGCTCTACTGAGAATAGAATAACAAAGCAGAAATATTCACAAGTGCTGGTGACACGTAGTATTGTATGATTTATTCACTGGGGTTCTCATAGCCCAAACTCACAGAAACATAAAAGGAATTCATATTTCAAGATGTCTGGTTTAATGAAAAATTCAAAGAAATGCTGTCTTCAGTTGAAATCGTTCAAGGATATGGATGCAGTGATGGAGCAAAATTGTGCCTTCCAACCATCTGTACAAAATGTTATGTACTTAGCTGCCTCATGAGTAATCCTTGGAAATTTTGTTTCATTTAATATTCATTTTAACTCCATAAAATCATAAAAACAATGATATCATGTTACAGCAAATCCTCTGCTAGAGTAAAGACTTCCTGGGGTCTTGGTTTCTTTCTAGAAAATATGCATTCATCTATTAAAATAGAAATTTCTGCTATGGCAAACAACCATTTAGCAGCCCGGCTTATTTCAGTGAAAATACTGCTTTAAGAAAAGCTTCCACATCTGTTCTATCTTTTAATTTAAAATATAAAATTAACATAATTTATAACAACACAATAAACAGTAAAAGCAACAAAATGCATGCAAGGTTTATTGCAACACCACAGTCATTTGTATCCATTTTTATTCAGCCAAAATTCATTCCAGCAATACATCTTCAGTCGAGGTATTGGGTGTTGTGTTTCAGACAAAATCAGAGAAAAAGCCTAAGCTTATATATAGGGGTTCTCTTCCCCATGATAAACAGAGGAGTTAATATAAAAGGGGCTCATTCTAATTAGTGTTGTTTGAATTGCCTGGTCTGATCCAAAGCAAATTGTCTGTGGAGAGCAGCAGGATTGGATTATTTATCAACAGTCTGAGCAATTAAGAAACAGTTGGCTGCAATATGTTATTTACAAATGAACACAATGATGTTACTTCATTTTAAATTCTTTCTTCATCATCTCAAGCAAGACATAACTCCCAGCCTTTGAGGTGCATTGAAAACATTTACATTAATCTTCCATTTCTTCATATCATTGTGAGTTGGACAATGCCATTGTATGCTTATGATGAAGTATGTACTGGCAGTTACACACTAGAAAAAATTTGGTTCAGAAAAAGGTGGATGTTTTTTCTTTGTATCTTCATCACTGTTTAGCTAGCAATAGAGTGTGTATGAGCTTTACACACACACACACACACACACACACACACACACCCTCAGTCCTCACCCCCCACCCCGAGTTCCATTCCTGCCCTGGCTCTTGCATCTGTGGGGGCAGGACTTAAATGATTTCCATTTAAAAAAATATAATATGGAATGTTACATATGGCCTAAGACTTGTTGAAAACAAAAATAACATAAAGTGTTTAAAGTTCTTGGGGCATAGTAGATGGGCATTCTGAAAGGGATCATTTGTGGCTGAAAGTATGTGATTTAAAATATAAGTAAAATTTCAAAATGTGAAAAGGCTAAATGTCATTTTGTACCAAGAAAAGAGAGAGCTATAGCTTTGGGGCCTTAGAATTCTCAATTCTGTTCCTAAAGCTGAGAAACCACTTTGATTCTACCATATTTACATGGGAAATACTTATTGATATAACATTTTAATTTTTATTCTCCATGCTGCAGCCCAGACACTTTTGAAAGTGTATAAAAAACATGTATAAATGTGATCTGTGTGTTTTCATAAGTTGTCTAACAGAGACTTTTGTTGTTGGTTTGTTATCACTATTTTATTTATTTATTTTCATTATTGAAACCTACCAGTAGAGCACATAGCAACTGAACCATTTTTGCATAGACAACGCAGGGCCACTGACTAGTCTCATGTTGTGGGACCATCTCATCTGCCTTAGCCAAACTGTTCCTCCGTCATGAATATAAAGTCATAGCCCATAAGTTTCCTAACTGACCTTTCTGAGTTGCTGCTGTCAATTATTACAGATAGTTCTTTAAAAGAGCTCAAGACAGACCTTCTTTTTTAAAAACCGTTTTATTGGCATATACTTCATATATCATGCAATTTAATGATATTACTCAAATTAAGAAGATTTGTACAATCATTATCACAATTTCAGAACATTTTCTTCTCATAGGATTTGTTATTAGCTCTCAATCCCCCTCCCCACCCCACCCCCAATGCTGCCCTGCCATGCCCCTAGACAATTATCAATCCATTTACTGTCTCTATAGATCTACCTGTCCTGGATTTCATATACAGAAAATCATACAATACAAAAACAGGAAACAAACAAGCATAAAATACCAACAACAATGAAAGTGGTAAATTTTAGAAACTGTAACAACCTTAAAATTGGTCAAAAGGGAGATCAGATGAAAAAGTATTAATTACCTTTTAATCTAACTACATATGCCATAATAGACTTTGCTGTCTGATAGCAAGGCTGTTCACATCCCTGGTCTCTGTTCAGAGAGGATTTACTGTAGGGTTAATACACGTGGGGATCCTGAAAATGGATTTGGGGCTTCCACTGTCATCCAAAGCATTCTGCAGACTGGGTGTTCACAATTTTAGTTCTGATGTAATTATATCATTCCCTCCTTTGGATTTGAATTTTATTATTTACAATCCTTGTATCACACAATGCTTCTTCCATGTGGACTTAATTGATGACTCACTTAGATGGCTGCTTGTTTGAAGACAAGCCTTTAAAATCCCACATGCTATTCTTTCTAACAGTGAGGCATCTCTGTTTCTTTACCATACTTTGCTATAGTAGCCATATCTTTCATGATGTCTTCGTGAGGGTTAGCTAGTAAGCAGGACCATGTCATAAGAACTATTTTTTCTAAGACTGTGGCTAAAATTAAGTGTGAAGGCAGACATTCTTTAATTAGTTAAGCTAACTATGGTTTGGTTTTCAGAAGACAGCTGATGATATTTTTGGTTTAAGATTTAAAGATTACCTCAGAGAAATAGGTTCAGGGGTTCATCCAACCTCAATTGTTCCACAAAGTAAATATTCCCCAAGAATTTGAAATTTGTTTATGCATTGTCCCTCTTTTGATCAAGAATCTTTGAGCAACACATTCAGTAATGGTAGCCAGGCACCACCCAGTTCTTCAGGTGTCTGCATAACAGTGAGCTTATTAGTGTTGGAAATGTATTTTAACACTCGTACTTTTCATAAGATTTTATCAAAGTCTTTAGTGTGCCCACTCTGAGAATGATTATAATACTACTTATCCTTTCAGGCACCTCAATAGTGGCAGCACAATTCCCATTAGAGCTTTTTTTATCATTTTTTGTTCTTTTTTTAAAATTATGTCACAAAGTTGTTGTTTTTTTTTTAAAATTAATTTATTTATTTTTTTTATGTCACAAAGTTTTTTAGCTTTCTTCTCCACCCCATGGAATTTTATAGCAAAGCAGATTGTAGTTCATTGTTAATTGTTAATTGTAGTTAATTGTTACTACAAAAAAAAGATGAATAAATTGATGCAACTTCTCAGCAGGCAAATTCGAAAATATTTCCCTTCTAGGGATTAATTTCTATTACATCACCATTGAGATACCAAGTCTACACTAATGGATAAAACTAAAGATAGCGAATTTAAAAAATCAAGCATAAAGGTTTTTGTTTTAATAGAAACATGGTGCTAAACTCTAGTTATTCTCCAATAGTTTGTTTATTTTGAGAAAATAAAGGAAATGGAAGAGGGAGGGAGGTAAAAGAAACAGGTATAGGAGGAAAAAGAGAAGTTACACTTCTTTTATACTAGTGGAGCAGGAAGTGTTTTGGGAATAAAAATTACATTTGATTTCTAACTCATCCGTTGTTAACAGTATGGCTTTTATCAAATCACCTAGCTGAATTTTTAGAAAGTTTTCCTAGAAGATAAATTCTTTTAAAAATATCTAATGAATTTTGTGAATGGTCAATATCCACGTGGAAATTGTGCCAGGACAGCTATTCAGTGGATTCACCAGTGACCATACTTATTATCTATAAATAGTGTCCTTTCTGATTGATTAGTCATTGGGAACTTGAGCCATGCAGGGCGTTCAGGAGAGGAGTTTACAACCTGAATTTAAGATTTTAAAGGGTAGAACATTTTTAGTTGAAAACAAGATCCAGAGAGTGAGTAAAATGAAATAGAGGCCATAAAAGTTGAGATTGGGTTGTTGGATGAATATGAAAACTCAGCGGAGTAGCAGGAATTGTGTTGGAGAAGACATCTGGTTCTGATGAAAAGATTAAGGGTTTGCGTTCCTTCGTGGTCTCTCCCCCTTAACCAACAGCTAATGTGGGCATAGAATCTATTCCAACTCCTAATGACCCTAAAATACAGTGTAGAGCTCTCCACAGGTTTTCCAAGTCTGTACATTTTGGGGCTGATGGGATTAGCAGCTTTGCACTAAACCACTGCACCTCTCTCTCTACTTCCCCACTGCCAATGAGTCAATTCCAACTCAGAGTGACCGTAGGTAGAGATTCTAAGGCTTTGCAAATCTTTGCAGGAGCACATAACCCCAATTTCTCCCACTGAGTAACTGGTGAGTTTGAACTGCCAACATGGTGGTTTGCAGTGCAATCCTTACCAAACAACACCACCGGGTTCCTTCTCTCTCCTTTAGTGATTTAAAACATTCCAGCTTATTAGTTACATTAACCAGACCACTTAACAGTCCTGGACTTAAGTGATTAGAAGATACTATGGGTCTGAGTTTAAAACAACCAACAAGAACAAAGCAAACCATTGTCATGAGTCAGTTCCTG